TGTCTATATGAGTATATATACATACACACATACATGTGTGTGTGTGTGTGTGTGTGTGTGTGTGTATGTGGGGTCGGTCTGTGTCGCGTCTGGCATTATAATGCCGAGCGCATGTTGCGTTGCCTCTCGCTTGCCCCATGCTCAATGCTCAGCTTCATCTCTCGCTTCCTGTGCGCCCTGCCATGTCGTCATGCTATCAGAGGCCGTTGCTTGGCTCGCCTTGGAGCAGCAGCTCGGCTCAGTCTCAGCAGCATGCATATCGATTTTGTTCTTGCCTAGCGGAGAGGGGCGACTGAGCGAGACAGGTGAGAGGACACTGCGCTATTCACCACATGTTGAGTTCTGAGCCAATGTCAAACACACACATTCAATTTATCGGGGAATATAATGTGTTAATTGCTGAGGGATTTGCGCTTGTCGAGGCTTTTCATGATTGAGGCTCGTATATCTTGGCGAATTTATGTCGGCCTTATCTATGCACGCGCTGCTCTGCAATTTGATGGCCGATTTGCCAGCGATAAAGCCCGTCCGCAATTAGGCGTTACCCCAGTAGAACTTTCCATGGAAGCAGCACTCGCATGTGTGCAACTTTGTTGTGGCACTGTCCACGACACCCCGCCCAATGAGCCACTAGACACAAGCTCCGACTCCACCTTCTGCCATATGCCAGCTATCAACGTTGACTATCAGTAAACGCATGGAAGGTGTAGAATCGACTAGGCGAGAGGGAACTGGGGAACCGGAGGCGGAGGCGCAGACCTGCAAAGTAGTGCGTGTGGCAGGGCCATAAACAATCTACACTACACTTAAAGCCAGCCAATTGCATTCGCATTCTCATGTCGCTGCTGGCATGTTTTTTGATGGAAAATAATTAAGTTAATGTAAAATGCATTTTCAAATTGTATACCGAAGCCTAATTATCATACCGTTCCATGCTTAGAGCACAACTTGCCAATTTCACATCCACTAACACAATTATATATATAACTTATATATTATATATAAATAAATATATATATGCATATATATGTAAAGACAAAGGCACTGTGCGAGCTGGATTAATGATTAGTTTAGCTTGAGGCGTTTCTGAGAGACAAGTTCAAATTGAGGAGCTTGAGCCAAATGAAAGGCAGATAATTTAAGGGTCTTTCGCCCCTAAAAACCGAGCCGAGTTTCGAGCAACTTTCATCACCCTGCACTTACGTTTATGAACTGCACAAAATGCTATGTGCTTTCATCGCTTTTGTTGGGGATATCGCCGCATTATCGCAAACTGGTTCGCATTGTTTGCCAGTGCCAGTGTGTCAGGTCATTAATTTCATTAAAATTGCATCAAAATTTATGGTGGAGCTGCGACCAATTTGCTTGTAATCCATCAGCGCGTCGCATCGCATTGCCAGCCCTCGAGCTCTTTTGTGTACTTTTCCGAACAGGCTCAAAAAGCTAAATTACAACGTGGCCCTTAACATGTTAATAAAATAAAATGCTACATGCAAAATAATGAAAAGCCAACTCTGGACCTGATCCGCATTCGGCGCAAATTCAATTAAAGCCAGTTTATGCGATAAGTGGCAATGGCCAAAGCCACAAGCCACAAGCCACAAGCCCTAGATAAGCTGGGTCTCCTATCAGCAGGATCAGATCTGCAGCTGCACCTGCTCCTTCTAGTCACACTGGAATCACACTGCGTCGGCCCTCTCCATGCCTATGCACGTGTGAGAAACGAGCTGAATGCGTAATTTAATAAGCAGGCGACTAGAAGGATCCATTAACAATTTCGATTCGCATTCGCAGCAGGATTAAAGGACGACTTTGGCCTAGTCTGTCCCATAAAATTGCAACTTAATTGTTAATTAAAGGGCGCGCAGCATGTGTATGCGTTGCCCTTTCTCTTGCACCAAGTGCAGCCGCTCGGCCTACGGCATGTCACGTTGCTGCGGCAGCTGCCTCTTGTGCAACGTCTATCAACGTAATGACACCGAGTTACATGAAAAAACTGTTCAGCATACTGAATAGTTTTCGACTTTCAAGTTCGACTCGCGTCTGAAGTGTGGAAATTATAATAAATTTTAACTTTGGGCACTGCAATTATGCAGACACCTTGCTCTGGCCATATATTGCCATATTGACAGCTTGATTGATGCCGCGCTTGTTCGATGCCGACGTCTGTTTAGCATTTTTACGCCTAATCGCAAAACCGATCAAACGATTTTGCATAAGTTCAGCGGTCACAAAATGCAAACTGCACACTGCATACTTCAGACTTCAAACTACAAACTACAAACGACCAACGGGTGGTCCAAGCCGCAGTACCAGTGCCAGCACCAGCACCAGCACCAGTCGAAGTTAACCAACTGCCGTTGTTCAGTGAATGCCATCAGAGACAATAAATTTCATAAATAGCTTATGCATAAAATGCCAAACCTCCTTCCGATCCCCACACCTGCATCAGGCACCGCCCGCTGTGTTAATATTAATTGGACGACATAATTGCAGCGCACCGCTGCCCATAATAATCGACCCAGGCCAAGATGAGGAAGAAGTTGTGGCCGCTCGAAAACACGTTTCGGGCCAATCTTCATAAAGCAGCACTGCTGCTGACCAGACCCCAACTCAACTCAACTTAACTCAACTCTGCTCAGTTCAGCTCAACTCCGGTAGTTGGCAGCCGCCCGGCAATCGGAATTTGTGTAAATTTGGCAAACGTTGCATTGACGACACCAAGCTGGGCAGCCAACTGGTCAACTGGTCAACTAACTGGGAGGATTGCATGTTGGCCACTTCCATACATAATTACGGGTTGCATTTTATACTCTGACGCAAAGGGTACAACTCTTCGGTTTGCAGAAGCGACGAAACGTTCTGCAATTCTTGACTGCAAATTAAATCTTCAGTCTTTTTAATGACAATTTGTGCACCTAGCTCAACTAACAACTATTTGACTTGTAGTAAAGATAACAATGATTTGAATATGCAAAATGATTTTTATATATAAAGTTTTCTTTCTTCTGCTGCAGAGTATTCCAGGCGCGGTGTTTGAAGTGCAGATTTTTAATTTGCTTTGTTTTTTGGGGGGCTCAAGCACTGCCTACGAGCAGGCACAGCATGTGTGCAATTATCGGTGTGTGTCCCGGCTAATTTATTGTCTTTGGCGCTGCCCTAAATCCAAATGTAATACAATATGCACATTTATCATATTTAAGTACCGAGTCCAAAAACACATCCTGTATTTATGGCCTGCTAATATGCGGTTTTAGTTCAACGGTTGCAAGGATCGGGGCGCGCTGCAGCCTAAAAGCGATGGCCCATGCTTCCGTAAACTGGGCAAGGGCTAAGCTGCGGTGCCCGCCCTAACTTCCACTGCGACTACTGACGGCCTGTCGAACGCAGGCGGAGCGCCACAGGAGGGCAAAGTACAGGCTGTAAGAATTTAAAATGCTTGCGCTTTAGGTTGTTTGCTCATCATCAGTGAAACGCACGCCCCCGCGACAGTACATTATTTTCATTGCAAATATTTATTTTACGCTCTGTGTTTCTATTCCCTGAAATCAGTTAAATGGACTGTGCTGTTTGTTTTGTTTGGTGCGACAGTTTTACGCGCTGTCCTCTAATAAGCCCCATGAATAATGACCGAGGCTTAGACTCGGGCCAACGATTGCTCATGTGGGTGGTGGGCGCACTTCACATGTGTCTGCAGACAATGGTGAGCCATATCAGCATGCCAATTGGCCACTGGTACTACAGCAAGAAAGAGAGTAGAGCCTATGGAGAGTATCGCTTGCCTGCAAGAAGAAAGCAGCTAAAGCTGAACTAAAGACACAAAATTCTGAACGGAGATGTCTCAACTGCGGGCAAATGGGCAGCACAAATGTAACAAAAATTGCGCACAATTACGGGGCAAAAGCCCAGGCAACTGCTCCAACCCTCCACCGCACTCATTCCAATCGCACCTTATCCGAGCGGAAAAGAATTATTACGTTGAATTTTCTTTCATTTTTTTGGAAAAGAAAAAGAGAAGAGATTTCTCGTTTTTTGATAGCGGCAGACCAAGTGTGCCGTAAGCAGCAGCAGCAGCAGCAAGCAGGACACGGCGCTGTCCACGTCTCACGTGCACATGACAGTGGAGTAAACAATTTCATTTCGCGCGGGCAGCTCAGCAGGACCAAAAGATAACTGCTACAAACGAGGCACAAGATGCTGCCTGCAATAACAACGACAACGACAACAACAAGAACAATGACAACAGCAGCCAGGACAACAAGGACAGTACTTGAGTTCCTTTATTTTTTCTATATTTTTTCTGGTTTCTCGTTTTTCTTTCTTTTTTTGGAGCCAGCAAACGTAATAACAACAACGCCAACCACCACAAAAGCATAAGAAGTTGCGTAAATATATTGTCCCGTCGGTCTGTCGAGTTGAGTGTGGTGGAGGTAGGGAAGGGGGTTACCTATAAACAGGACACTATCCAGCAGCAAGTTGTGGGCGTTGCGCAACTGAACAAGGACACAAATGTGGGTGAGTACGACGCAGTTAGTCGAGCGTGCCTGGCGGCTTTTAATGCGTGCGTCTATAAATTTTGCACGCCTTTTGTGGCTGGGCAGATGGTGGGCGGTGCACGTGGCCTGGCCAGTTTTTGAAACTGTCAAATTGCTACTGTTTCAGCTCCTTTGGGGGTAGTCAAGCGGCGTTCCGGCTATAGGAATTATTTATTTATTTATTATTTTTTCGGCTCGGTTACTTTGCTACAAAATCTAAACAGTTTAAAATAGGACTTCATGCTTTCGATGTAGATTTTAAGTTTGATTTCATATTGCCTCAAAGAATTCAGCTTCAAAAACTCACTCTACTTCGAAGGACTTTTAATTATATGCAACTGTAGTTTCAAGTCCCTTGCAAAAGGATTTTTACCATCCATTAATTCTACGTCACACTTAAAAGCATTTTCTAGCTCTGAGAAAACTTGAAACTGCTTTCAGATCAATGGATGTGTGATATTTTTGTCGGGTAATACAACACATTCTTGAATTGCTATTTTGTAATCCCAATTTAAGTTATTAAAAATCTGTAATATTTGATTTCATTCCTCTTCTATTCTCCTCTATTATTGTCTATTATTCCTTTGTCTCTTCTTCCCGTGCATCCATCTTTAACTCAACCATGGGACTTTGCTCTACTTTCAACTTATCTTCAGTTTGCTCTAATCTTATCTTATCGTCCGAGCTCTGGGCTGGTTCTTGATTCATTTCCGTATTCGCCAATGTAGTTAACATCGAAATATTCGATGTGCGTTCATCAACAAATGAATCAATATCAAAACTTGGATTTGTTGTTAGTTCCTCCAAATCTCCTACCAATGCTTCGTTCTCGCTTAAGATGTTAGCATTCGAAAGTATGTCTGATAATTTTTCTTCTTTAGTAGATTCAACAGTTGATTCAAATATGGCAATTTCCTTTTTATTTTCTTCAATCAATTCTCCAATTATTGATTTATTTTCATACGGTTGGCTTACATCTTTCTCAATGTTTTCAACATCGGAATTCTCTTTTCTACTGTTAAGCAACTGAATGTCAAAGTCCTCTTCTATATCTGCTTCCTTATCAGAATTGCCCATGGAAACATTACAACTCTCTACAAGTTTTAGCTCTTTTACTTGTGACCCTTCTTTGGCATCGTTAATGCATTGGTCTGTTATGTCTGTTATGTCCATTAAATTATTAGCTTTCTCCACCTTGTCAGAATCATCATATTCGTTAGAATTGAATGCACATTCGTCAGAACTCTCATCCTTATTTTCTGCCTCAGAACTATTTCGTCTTTCGGGCTGTTTGTCTTCTTCAGATAATTCAATATCAGAATTCGGTTCTGAACCAATATCAGTACTAACTGATTCTGTATCGATATTTTTTGTACTCGTATAAATTATTTTATTATTGTCCATATTATTTACATCAACTGGTTCGCCGTCAAGTACTGTTCCTTCACATCCATCTTTATTATAGCTGGCATCCAGATTTGGCATAGGCTCTTTATCTTCATCTTTCATGTTGATGCTTCCTAAGTCCTTCACTGAAACTGTTTCATTTTCTTCTCTATCATGCGAATCAGATTTTTGATTTTGAATAGTCACATATTCATTTTGTTCTTGAGTTATTAAGCTTCCTGATTCTTGATCATTTTGATCAGTTTCAATATCAGAACTGTCAAGTGATTGCGAATCTTCATCTTCACAGCCATCTGAGGAATCTTCAAAATCTGAATTATGTGGTGACTCAGATTCTTCCATTTCATCATCCTTTCCTTTCTTTTCTGCTGTATCTTCAGCATTTGATTTATCTGATCCTTCTATTTTATCATTCTTTACATCTCCTTTTTCTGTTGTATTTTCTGCATTTGATTTATCTGCTGTTTTCATTTCGTCATCCTTTCCATCTTCTTTTTCTTCTGTATCTTTAGCATTTGATGCATCTGCTGTTTCCATTTCATCATCATTTCCATCTTCTTCTGTATCTTCAGCATTTGATTCATCTGATCCTTCCATTTCATCATTTTTTCCATCTTCTGTTTCTTCTGTATCTTCATCATCTGATTTATCAGACACTCTCATTTTATCATACTTTCCATCTTCTATTTCTTTTGTATCTTCAGCATTTGATTCATCTGATGCTTCCATTTCATCAGTTTTTCCATCTTCTGTTTCTTCTGTATCTTCAGCATCTGATTTATCTGATACTTCCATTTCATCATCTTCTTTTTCTTCTGTATCTTCAGCATTTGATTCATCTGATCCTTCCACTTCATCATTCTTTCCATCATCTTTTACTTCTGTATTTTCAGCATCTGATTTATCTGATACTTCCATTTCATCATCTTCTTTTTCTTTTGTATCTTCAGCATTTGATTCATCTGATCCTTCCACTTCATCATTCTTTCCATCATCTTTTACTTCTGTATTTTCAGCATTTGATTCATCTGATACTTCCATTTCATCATTCTTTCCATCTTCTTCTTCTGTATCTTCAGCAGTTGATATATCTGATCGTTCCATTTCATCATCCTTTCCATCTTCTTTTTCTGCTGTATCTTCAGCATTTGATTCTTCATTACTTTTATCAGTTTCAGCATCGGAACTCGCCATTGAATCTTCATCATCATCCTGCTCAGCATCGGAACTATTTCTGTTCTGGTCTACCAAGTTTGAGTTTTCATTGTCATCCTCGGAGAGGTCCTCATCGGAATCACTAATTGCTTCTGATTCTTCATCATCAGCAGAATCTTCTTCGCTGGAGTACCTTAATAGTTCAGTGTCTTCATTATCATCGTCTGAGAAATGTAAGTATTGTTGTTTAAGAGTATCTATATTATCATCAACTTCATCATCAGAGGAATCATCGTCGGAGGTATTGTACGGCTCTTCGGCTTCCTTTTTATTGTCGTCATTTGTACTTTCCAAGTCGTTTGATTTCCCATTGTTGGGTTGTGCAAAACAGGCCTTCAGCTTTAGAATATCTAAGAACTCTAGCCATTCCGTGTACTTAGCATTGCTCTCAGAGGTTTCTTTTGATTCTTTTGCTTCATTATTTGCTGGCTTGACACAGAAACCTAGCAGAAGGTTTCTTCGAGTAACGCGCAGCTTATAGAATGGGGTTCCTTTGCTCGCATATGACTTGATCAGGAAATCTTCGCTGCGTAGCTCACGTCGTTTGGAATCTGTATCCGTATTGAGCTGTTTTGATTTTTCTGGCTCATACTCCTGCACCAAGCGTTCAAAGTCCCAAATGCTCATCTGGCAGTCATGGCCCCCGACTATAATAAGTTTGTTATCCAGCGCAAACTCAACGCAGTTAATGGGCGCAGTGTGGTGACCCAGACAACGAACCATTTCCTCCTTTTCAGAGTCCCAAACAATCAAATAATTATCATCAGCTCCGGAGACCAAATACCGCCCACATATGGAGTAGGCGAGAGCATTGATGGAATTTCTGTGGGCGCTGAAGACGCGCACTTGAATGGCTTTAACAATGTCCCACATGCGTACTGTGCAGTCAGCCGAGCCAGTTGCTAGGTAATGCCTGTTCGGATGGAATTGGCAGCAGATAACCTCGGCCAAATGCCCGGCAAGTATGCAGACTGATTTCTTGCTGTCCTGCGTCCAAATGCGCGCCGTGCGATCATCCGAAGAGGTGGCAAAGTAGTAGCCCAAGGGAGCATAAATGACGCTGTAGATGGCCCCGCAGTGGCCCGGGTAGATGACAACACAGCTCCAGGAGAGCAGGCACCAACAGCGCACAGTTCGATCCTGTGAGCAGGTGAGCAAAAAACGATCGTGCGGAGCAAAGGTGCACCCATAGACGGGCCCTTGGTGACCATAGAGTGTGCGTCTCATTTTTCTTTTGGTCGCGTCCAACATGCTCTCGTCTATACCGGACATCCCAGTATCCAGCCGCTTCAGGCATTTGGCCGACTTGAGCTGCACCAACTTTGAGGATGTCAACGAGAAAATATGGATAGCAGCAGAGGCAGTGCCCACGGATAGCATTGTTGTCTTGTTTGAGAAGCAGGCGCATATTATAGTCTCCGAGGTTTCAAGCGCCGTATAGAGATAGGTCGATGGCAAGTTTTCGCGGTTAAGTGGCACGCGGCGCTCCTCGTCATCCTTATGTCGTTCCAGATCCCAACGCTTCGGAGTTGGAGTGTAGAGGCGATTGCCTGTTGGCACATGGACGTTTCTAGTCGGAGAATGTTTGTCCTTCTTGAATCGCCTGCGCCGCAAAGGTCGCGGGCTACCTTCTTTATTTTCCTTGACCGCATCGGTAGTGGCCCAGTATATTTTATCCAAAATAGCCGAGCCAATGCGACTGAGCTGACGAGGCTCCCCATTGCTATCATCAGGAAATAGATCGAAATGTCTTATGAACGTCATCTGTATGGAACGGCTCCAGGTCTCCATGCAGAGCAGTAACATATAGTAAGTTTCCTCAAACATGCAGACGGGAACCTGCTCGTTGTCGTCAGAGATTAACTTTTTGGCCTTGTTTGGCATATCACCTGGGGTTTGTAGTACCATTAGCTTATCCACGCGTGCCATGTATGAGTGATCAATGTACCGCAGAGAGCCTTCCACAAACGCCTTGCCCTTCCGGTACTTGCCGCTGGAAATCATTCGGAGATAGACTATCGTAAGAGTCGGATACAGAAGGCTGTAGATTTCGTACTTGAAGCGGTTGGGGACTCGATCGACAATCTTGCGAATCTCATGGAAGAGTTGCTCGTAGTCGTTCAACACGCTCGAGTAAGGCAGATCCGAGTTAATGGCGTCGTCTTCATCGTCAGAATTGAATCTATCGTCTTCAAACGTGCTATCATCTTCGTAAAAGTCTTTTCCGTTATTCAAATCCGTTTTCAACGTTTGAGACTTTCGTCGCCAAACTGAATCGTCGCTGTCCGACTCTTTAGCAGAACGTGGCGAAGAGATGCTGTTGGCAGCTCCAGCGTTGCTCTTCTCTTCTTTATCTTTCTCAGTCGGCTCACGTGACATTTTCGTTAAGTACGTTATCATGGTCTCTTCAAAGTCACGTTTTTTTTCTGAGCAGGAGACTCCCTGAGGAGACTCTCTAGAGATGGAGCTTTTAGAGTTGCTAGTTTCGAATCTCAACGTGCGTGGACCTATGATCTTTCTTCGATCATCTATTGGCTGACTTATAGGAGACGTGCTAGGCTTCTCGGGTGGCTCAAGTTCATCCGACAATTCTTTTGATTTCAATTTGGGAAAAATCGCATCGGTTGCTTGCATTGCCTCTGCAATGAACGAGAGTGGCTCCTGGGAAACCAATTGTTTGGGTGGTTGACTAAATGACATAAGAATACAAAAGAAGTTAACTATGAGTTGTTCCAAGTATACATCAGATCATACATTCCGCACCTTTTGTTGGTTAAAGCAGGTTTCCGGGAAGCACTGGTTTGACTCAATAGGCGATGCTTTATATGGTCTGTTGAGGGAGCTAGCGACTTAGCCGACTTGGAATGCCCCAAGCTCGTAGTTGTTGGATCAGTAACTGCAAACGAGTTGATTCATTATCATTTATGACAGCTTATTTAAAAGCAAGTTCTCATTCTCTGATAACAGAGTGAAGCAGCAATTGATCCTTACCTGTTGTGTCTCCATCTGAGTCCAAGTCCACAAGGTCCGCCAGCGAATCTTCCACATTGACAATTTTAGTAGATTTATCAGAGCTAATGCTCAAGTTTTCTCTACTACATTTCTTCACCACTTCAAGAATTTCTTCTTTCTCCAAGTTGTCATCGGAGTTATCAAAAGAAATGGGTGAAAATGACGAATGTGACTCGTCATTGGATTCCCCTTTCTGCCCAACTCCAGATGACTTTTCCGAGTCAGAAGTGAACTCCAAGTCAGAATTTTCACAGCTGCCTGAATTAGTTTTGATCCTCGACGCTTTTTCACTGTACTTCTGCGAACGTTTCTTATCTTTGTACAGACCTTTCCGCGACACACTGGAACGTACTGAAACTTCTTGATTACTTTCACCCGAACAAAGGTCCTTTTTCTTCGAAGTGAGTTTGGATTGTGTGTTTATTAAAATTTCTTCAAAATTTAAGTGACGCTGAGCAGGGATCACTTTGTTTTTCACCACGGGTTCTTTGACCTCCTGCTTTTCTTCAACTTGACTCAGTTTCGGGCTTATTTTGTCCTCTTTAGAAGCTTCCACATTTGACTGACTAGTGGTCTTAATATTCAGATCTAGTTCCAGAATTGCTTCTTCGCGCATAGGCACTGTATCACAATCTTTATTGCCATCAAGCATTGGTAAGGCAACTTCATCCACCACCTCCATTGCTGATGCAGGAGGCTCTACATCACACTGCTGTTGAGTTGTTGGCATCTGATTCTCAAAAAGTTCTAACTTGAGATCACTCTCGTTCTTGGCCTTTAAGTCAATTGTGTTAGATTCGACTACTGTTGCAACGTTCGAGCTTATTGTGTCTATCGTCGGTGTTGCTGGTGACACCGAATCTTCCAAAATGACTGATTCGGCGACACCTTTACTGTCGCCTTCTTCCTGAATGCCAATTTCACTAAATCCATTTATATAGGATAATACTGTTTCAGTATTCGCGTTATTAGCATCCGATGAAAGCTGCAAAAGAGTATTTTTATACATATTACAAATTTCAGAATCTCAAACATATTTATCATTTTCATGAATTATTTCGGTGGTTTTCCTTACCCACTGTACCTACCGGCTCATCTGTTTTCTCATTGTCTATTGGACTTTCCCTTGATTTTTGCCTTTTTCGAATTGTATTTCCATCTTCGGGCGATGGCCGCTTCTTGGCGCTGCCATTGTTCATAATTATATTGCCTCACAGATAACTTATGTTACGAAATTATTAGACTTCAAATTGTAACCAGATAGGGCACCGGAACAGCTACAAATTTTACAAGAATAAGAAGTTTCTAAGCTGTCAAATATGGTAAATCGATTCAGGTAACAAATTGTTACTGATGTTCCCTTAACTGGGTTAATTTTACAAATTATCGACTTACAAAATAACTGTATACGCCATGACTCTTAAAGTCGCAGTTACAATTTCCAATTTCTCAACTTACACTCGTGCTCATCTCTAGCACGTAGATAGTAAATAGTTGAGTCCGTCAACAGAAGTCGAAGCTAATGAAAATGACAGTCATCAAAATTCGAAGCCAGCCATATATAATTTTGATTGATCGGGATCCAAAACTGACCAACTAATGTAAACTGAGCATATATCGGACTTACATCCAGTTAAATATATCTGAGATAATGGTTACATTGGCAGAAGAACGTGACAAATTCAAATGCTTGCATTTATATTATCAGAATTCCACATTCAATTAATACCATTTCCCTTTTTACACTTATAGAAATAGTGGCGAGAGCTTGTCTACTTGCTATCTTCTATATTATTAAATATATCTCATAGTAACTCATAATAGAGTAAATCGTATATAATTTCAATATAATTCAATATAAATCTCTATGGACTGCTCAAAGTAAGATAAACTTTGACGATATCAAACTCATTATTAAACTCTTGTTTATCCTAAGTTCGTGTATTCATCTAAACTATTAGTACTTAAATATAATATAAGAATATAACAAATTGAGCTAAAAATTAATTGATAAGTCACATTTCATAGGTCTTACGGAAATAATAATATAGATTCGATTTACTTCATTCAAATATGACAGCTATTTGCGATACGTGGAATGTGAGGGAATGGATAGCATGTGCAGCTACTTGTAGCGCCAAAGCAGCTGGACTTCGTTATTTGGACGTTTTGAAAGCTGCATTAAAAAAACTCAGTGACTCAACGAGAACACATGTCAAAAGTCAAGGGCCATCATTAGACACAGACAATTAGAAATAAAGCCGCATTATTCGCAGCAACAACAGCAACAGCAACAGCAACAGCAACAAAATCGCGAGCAAATCACTTGAAATGCAATGCAGCCCATAAATAAATCACATCATAACGTTTCGCATCTGTTTGAATGGGAGCGAGCTTATGCAACGGCAAAATAATCCATTGTAAAGTGTCGAAAAAGTGCAATTGAAATGCAAATCAATGCAAATCGATACTTGAATCATCATCAACAGCAACAAAGATAAATGATTCATGCCCCGCACGCTGCACGCTGCATGCTGCACGCCGCACACCGCACGCGAGCCACATTCAAATGCAAATAGGAATGCAAAATTTTGCATGCAAACTCGATTTTGGGTGGGTCTTTCAGGAGCTGAGGCCGGCGGCAAGGGCTTCCCGCTGATGTGCGAACAATCAAATCAAAATAAAACTGCACCGCACAATAAAAATTGCAGCTCAAAACAAACACAGCAAACAATGAGAGACACACACAAAGGTAAATGTGTTGGCAGATTTTTGCACTTCCGGTTAACTGTTGCTAATTTGATTAGAGAGTTAGAAGCCAGCTTCCGAAAGGGCAGCCTGTGAAAATTTGTTGGCGTCGATTTCGTTTTGCACTGCCAACTTATGCAAATGCAAATGCAAATGCTGCTCTGTGATTTATGTGCATAAGTATGTGGCTTGGCTAGCGAGTTGTTTCCTTGGGGACAACGAGGAGGACGGTTGAGATTCTGGAAATTGAATTTAACAATTCGTAGTACTTAATCGTTTCACACACGTTGCGCTTTTACACATCCGTGTTGGGTTTTCATATTCAAATTCAAACTCAATCATATCCTGTCAGAAGGCTCAAGCCTCCTTTGTGTGCCCATCAGAACTTGTTTGTGCTTTAGCTTAACCCCTTTGAGCAGCTTGCCCTCGCATCCTGAACGTATCCCAGACATTGTCATGCTAATTGTCGGGCATGAGAAGGCTGAGATTGAAGTCTGAGAACTTTTCTTGCTGAGAGACATTTGGCCGTCAGGTAAGATTGTCGCTGATCGAGTTGAATTTATTCAGGATATATTCACTCAGTTTGCTTCTACACGTCATTAGGTGAAGTTCTAAGATGATATGTAATTGTGCTCAGCAACAAATCGTATCTGAATCGTGTTAAAATAGAAAACATCGTTATTATGCTGTTCTAAATAAATTATAATACAGCCAAATAAATAATTATATCAACCTAACCAATACTCCAGTTTAATGTGTTGTGGCTTTCCAAGAAATGTGGCACGCCTCCGCAGCCCTAAAAGAGCGAACATTAACACGGCCTCTGACGCAATTTAACACCAATTACAATATCCGTTACATCTAATTATTGTAAGCGCGCCCAGAAGCAAGCCACTTGGCAGGGTCCAAATTAAAGAAAAACAGCCACAAGGAAACCACAAAAGACAAACCAAAGACAGGTCGTTGTCCGTCGCGTTGGTGGTTGGGCGCAGATTGGTCGCCATTTGTGGTTGCCAGGACATTAACAATGGCAACTACTCAGCAGCAACAGCAGCAACAACAACAACGACAACGACAACGACACGAAGTACAAGTCCAAATGGCGCTCATAAAACAACAGAGCAGAGCCCGGAAAACCCATGAAATATGACAGAGATGGAACCTGAACCAGGGGGCATCGGAGTTGCCGCTTGAACCACAGTTGGGTAGTTGGTTAGTTGGGTGGGCGTGCAGCTGTACGAGTGTGCGAGTGTGGAGAAACATTTCTTAATTTCCAACAATTTACGCTGAAAGCTTTCAGCGCTCAAATGACGCACGGTGCCGAGCGTTCGTCCTTTGACAGCGTCCAGGCCAGGGCGACGATGATCTAACGCCATTATTTCGCTGCCAAACGACAGGCAGTTGTTAATGGGGCTTACCACTTAAGCGCGACGGCATAAAATAAACACACAGAGTCCGCCCCACCCACTCGTCGTCGTCACGGATGTCCTGGCAAATTAATTAACATAGCGCGCGCTCGCCTGCAGCGCTCCTTTGGCATTGCCTGGGGTTTCTTTTCGTTTTCCCATTTTCTTGTCTTTCGGCGGCTTTTCTGGCGCTGTTTAATTGTGTGGTACTTCGTTCAGTGTGCAAGGAAGTCGGCCAGCGGCAGTTTAACAATTAGAAAACGTTTAAAGCTTGCCCAAGTTTGAGTTGGGTTGTGGGTTGCTTTCGTGCCGTTGATTACCGGCCAGGGCCCACAAGCTCCGGCTGGAGACATTGTGCATACGCGGCACGTCCCTACATCCGTTTGACACCTTTGTGACCCGTGGACAGGAAATGAGCTGCCCCGTACGTGACTGGCTTTAGTAAAATACATCTTAGAAAATAGTCGTCGGTCTGATTTTCGGGTGCGAAATTTTGGCGGCATTTTCTAAGCAGTTGCCTGAGCTTCAGGCGGCTTCGGGTTGAACGCCACCAAACGGGTTATCCACGAAAAGACTTCCGACTTTAAGGTGTTTCAGCCCACTGTCCCAATTGTCTCTTGTGCCACTGTTTAACATTCCGAATTTGTGCACTCGCTCAATTTCCTTGAGTCTATAAAGTAATTACCCCCAAACAACTGAAAGATTCGGCATAAATTTGCTGTCGTGGTGGCCAAGCAGCCAGCCAGCCAGCCAAGCGATCAGGTCCTGCCGGTATAATTAGTGGCCCATTGATGCTGCTACGTGACAAGCAGAACGCCTTGTGGCAAGGACAAACCTTGAGAATCGGCCAAGCGTCGGCCTTCCATAATTGCAATTAAAATGTACGCCAGGATGCTCGCGCGTGAAGTGCAAACACTTTGGGGTAGCAGAAAAAAAAATCAGCAAAAAAGTAACAGAAAAATTGTGCAAATTAAAATATAATTAGAGATAAACAAGCCAAAACAAGCGGCAAAAGGAGCTGGCAATTAGTAGCAGAGTTCACTTAGACGGTGGCGCCGCCTGTCGGCCAGCGGCATTTGTACACGCACTTTCCACTGGAATTGTGTGACTGGAAGTGAGCGTGCCCTGCAGGCTCAGACCACCCCTACCGCTCAACCACCGTGAGGGCTGGCGTGTGTGTGCAAGCGAGCCAGAAACAAACGCTCAACGAGCACGAGCATGTGGGACAGGAAGTCGCTGTCGTTGTCTCTGTCGCTGCGCTGCCGACGGCGCCGCGGCTTCTCTGCTACCTGGCAACTAACGAGCCAGTAATTTTGTGAGGCAGCTAATGCTGCCTCAAAGACCTACGCAGAACTGCTGCGTCAGCTTCTTGAGCGTCGTCTTGGCTACTTTAAGCCAACCTCGTCATCGTCTTTCATATTAAGTATACGCCGCCTCGGATCGCATGTGAGCACAGGGCGGGGTAGGCTAGGCTGAGCAGGCCAGGGTAGATATATATTTGGCCTGCCAGCAAGCAGAGGCCTCGGCTTCTGAGGGTCGTTTTTTTTTTGGCTGAGGCCACACCTTCCGCAGGGGTGATTGAAACTGAAATTTCAGTCGACGCCGCTTTTACTTTTGTTTGCTTGGATTTTCGATAAAAAAAGCAGCATTTTTTTGCTTGTGTATAAATAAGAATCTACATTGGGTGGGAAACGAAATCTGCTTTATGAAATGTCAAAACTTCAAAGCAAATTTTAAGTTAAATGCAAGAAAATGAGAAAATATACACTTGAGTGCGTATGAAGAAAAATGTTCGACTCCGCTGCCAGCAACGCGTGCTTCCTCCTCTTCCTCCTCATCCTGCTTCTTGCTGTTTGTTTTGCGCCAGTTTTCCATTGTCCATTGGACGTCGTTAGGACTTTGTTGTTGTTTGCTGTTTGAGCTGTTGTTGATAGCCTTTATTAGTTGTTGGGCCCAAGCTTAGGCGCTTTACATTTTCTTTTGCACTTCCGGTTTGAGCCAAAAAAAATGCTAGATGGAGATTTGAAAGCAGGATTTGCATTGAGGTCTTGTGTGCAGCTGAAAAAGGTTGTTACATGGAAGCAGTTGAGACCCAGATATAGACTTGAGGTTTCAGTGGATCGTCGCAGATATTCAACTGCTTATTATTTAATAATCTCTATAATCTATATAATTAAAGAAAAGTATTTTAATAAATATAAAAATATTATATTTAATTTCATTTAAAGATTGCGCTGCTATAAGTTTATTATATGTTTATTAGCATTGTTAGTTGAAATATTGTTTGTATATCAATTTAAATTTGAATGTTTTAATTTTCATAAATATTTAATATATTCGAAACATCAAATTACACGGTATTCAAGCGTCGGCTCTTTCAACAGTAAATACAAAATTCATTTCTGTTTCTTGTTTCTTCACTTCTCGTTTTCTTTTGGTTTACATTTCTTTTTTTCGACAACAGATTTTATTAAAAAATTGTATATTAAATCAATTGCGTGCAGCTTTTGGTTGGGGTGTTGAATGTGCTCATGCAGAAAGCGGGTGGCCGCGGAAACGCCCCACATTAAATGGCATAAATCATGTTATGGTCATGGGAAGCGGGGCATTTAGTGTGGTTCCTCTGCACTTAAAGATTTCAAGCAATGAAGGCTAAAGCAATTAAGACCACGTTAATTGAGCCGTTATGCAGTTTAAATAACACAGTCAATTGACCTATTAAGCTGTCAATATTTTGACATTTGCATCAGGTTCTTGCGGCAATAAAAGCAACATCCTCGGCCTGTTGTTCTTCAGTTCAGGGAAAGGCTTCACTTGTTTTGTGCTTTACTGTTAGCTGCAATGACAAAAACGGCTGTATCTCGATTGGCTACGGTTATCAAGCTCATTCGCTTCTGCGTTGCGGTCTGTGGCACGGATGTGTCCGATCCGAACTATCGTATGTGGACGTGGACTTACCTCATACTGTGTGCCATATTCGCCTTTTTTGTGTTTACCGGCTACACAATGTATGTGGGCGTGATGCTGAAGGATTGGACAATAATTTTGCAGGCACTTGCCGTGGCTGGCTCGGCTGCTCAGGGCCTCACAAAGTTCTTGTGCTGTGTGGGTAATGCGTCGGTAATGCGTAAGATACAGGGCACCTACGAGTCCATGTACAGGGAGTACGAGGGCAGAAATGGCGTATATACAAAATACCTGCACCAGCGCATCAACAACTTCTGGTACCTAATGTTGGCATTCGTCTGGGTCTACACGTCCTTGGTAATCGTTATGATCTGCTTTCCCCTGTTCGAGTTTGTTGCCTATGGCAAAAGAGGCATGGTATTGCACTTCCTAATACCCGGCCTCGATCACAACTCCGACAGTGGATATCTGGTTCTCATTTCACTGCACTGCACGTTCCTGATTTTGGGTGCATTTGGTAATTTCGGCGGCGACATGTACCTATTTCTGTTTATTGTCAATGTGCCGCTACTGAAAGACATATTCAATGCAAAGTTCGACGAGTTCAACGCGTTGGTCGTGCAGGAAAATAAGTACAAAGAGATGCACGCCATGCTCTGGGATCTGCTGGGCTGGCATCAAAAATATGCAACGTGAGAATCTCTAACTTTAGCCCACAAACTGTCTGCTTCTTATCTCTTATTCTTTTAGTATTCTGCAAGAAACAAAGCAAATATTTACGGTTGTTATGTTCGTACAGCTTATGACAGCTTGCGTCGGCATTCTGTGCACCATCTCTTGCATTTTCACGAAAGTCTGGCCCACTGCGCCAGCCTACCTGATATATTCCTTCATAGTGCTCTACACTTTTTGCGGCCTGGGCACCATCGTGGAGACTACGGTAAGCGCATTGATTAGGCATTATTCTTAACAAACATGTGTCTTCCTGCACAGAATGAACAATTCACAACTGAAATATACTCAAATTGCCTGTGGTACGAGATGCCGCCCAAGGAGCAGAAGCTCGTGATTCTCATGCTGGCCAAGTCACAAAAGGAACGTTCGCTAACTGCAGCGGACATGCTCCCACTGTCTATGGCTACTGCTCTGCAATTAACCAAGGCCATATACAGCTTCAGCATGATGATGATTACCTATTTGGACTACGAGAAATAAATGGCAGAAATCAATCCTCGACGAATTTGCCAAGTGGTCTTAGAGATTTAGTATAATGCTATTGTGCTGTGTTAGACAGAGAAGTCTTTGATATTTTCGAATGTATGTAAAAGTTTCTAATATTAATATTCACTCAGAAGGAAAACTTTATTTCTGTAGATGCGCATCTAGTGCTATTTAAACTGCTGATGAATAAAAGCCCTAAACATTTAATAGCGAAAATTCTCTTACAACATATGCGTCTCTCTCTCTCTCTCTAAATTTAAAGCAACTTTAATCTTAACTCTGCCTGCAAATCATATATTAGCCTTTAATCATTCAATCATTCTATCAATATCTAATGACCTTCTAATAACATGGCCCTCATAAGATTCAGAAATAGACATGCATTTAATCGTCTGTGTACCTGAACATGACTTCCTTTTTGATTTTAATATTATTTTTTTTTTAATATTATTTTTATTTAGGTCATAAAAACACAACTTTATACTGATTATTTAACAAATAGGATTTGACTTAAATACCATTGCAAGAGGAGTCACTGCCTTAGGTATTGTGCCAGGTGACAATAAGCTGCAGCAAGCAACCATTTCGTATGGATAGTGTATAAAACTGTTCGTATTAAAGATAACACGTATCATATTCTATTAATCACTTCACACATCTTATTAACCTGGTCTATTCTCTTTGAGTACTGCATCTCAACTATAATATGTTGCCATGGAATTTCAGCAATGTCTACGAGATGGTCATTCTAATGCCGACATACTAGAACCTTCACGACGTTTGGGGGGATGAGGCTGTGCTGCTCCGCTGATTAATTTCAGCTTTTTGTCTAATGAACTTGCCCGCAAGAATTTAATAAACATCGCTCTGAAACTTTATTGGCCACAAAAAAGTGACTGACGTCTGCTACAGAGCGCCCAAAAAAAGTATATCAAAGTGTGTAAATGCCCGACTAGAAAATACCGTGATTGTCACTTAACTGTTTACTTTTCAGTTCTCATTATATATATGCATATTATGTGACTGTCACTTAACTCTTCACTTTTCATTTTTTATAAAATACGTTTGAATGCTCTGCCTCAGAGACTCAACTGGTTTGGAAATGATTTGGAAATGATGCAAATATATGTATATAATATTGTTTAACAATTTCGAACGACACTTGTGAGTCTTCATAATACCTTCTTATCTAGTTTATGGCTACAGGGTATGAAGTGAGCAAGCAAAGGAAAAATCATCTCTGGTAAGTTGTAAAAATTGTCTTTTAATGCCACGAAAATCCAGCAGATTGCCACGTAGTGCTAATAAAATAAAGTTATGCCCAGGCATAAAAAATCTACACAAAATTGTGAGAAATAGTGTGCGGTACGTTTTTATTTGAATTTTCATCCTCTTTTTTCCAAAAAAAAAATGGCGTAGAAAATTGTGCGCGCGCGCAAGTCGGCCCGAGCTGGGGCGCTAAACGCATCATTAATCAAATGTCCGGCGCCTAAGCACCGTTATTCATCATTGCCCCAGGATAAGGCGGACCCAAAGCATCTCAAGCGACGCCATATTTGTTCGTTCTGTGGATAGAAGTTGGGAATTTCAATTATGGATAGGGTATACGAAGTGATATATTATATACTCTGCCAAGGTGTGCGCAAAGTGAACTGGAAAACTTTTGTTTTTAATCAGTGGTATCGAAAATAACTTGAGATTTTAGATCGTAGTTAATTTGGCTGTAGGATTTTTTATTTTTAAAATGTTTTGCAATACTAAATAAAAACCTTTTTAACACGAAATATCGACTTCTGCTTAAGCGAGGACAATAAGGTAGCTGATTTATGTACCTCATTTAAAACTCAGGGCTACCCCACAATTTTGCTCTACAGAGAAGAAACCACGCGTTTATCTCTGGCAGTAGTCTCAGAATTTTAGCCACCCTAATGGTCCATATCAATTTGGCTCAAACACATCCTGTGGCTGATGGCTCTCTTCTTTTCGTCTTAGACTATTTTATCCTTATTTTTTGTTTAAGACTGTGCCCACTTTTAATGTACTAGACGACATTTGGGCAAAGCCGACTTGTTTTTGTGGCCAGTCGCAATATTTTTAGCATCATAAATCAGGCTTATATTTCAGTAAATCATCAAACATGCGACAACTTTTAAGGGCTACTGTTTGCGCTGCGCCAATGCCAACTGCTAATGCTGCTAATGGAAATTGTACATTAGAGATTGCCGCCTGTCGACGTTAGCTGATGGTTTCGTTGTTTTTGTTTTTATAATGTTTTTTTTTTTTGGTTTTTGTTTTTTTGTTTTTGTCGAGTTCGGTTATCACAACAGCATCAAATGTTGCTTGAACACCCCTTCAAGTGTCAGTTACATATTGTCGAGACAACAAAATGCTTTACTCTTCATGCAGCAGGAAAACGAGTCCCAAAAAAATGAATGAAAATAAAAAATCCTCGTAAAAAGGTTGCTAGCAAAACGAAAATGTTTCAGAACGAAATTTGCATACGCAGCAACCGATGAGGCAGCAGCTGAACAGGATGCGGTCTGGATGCGGATGAGGATGCGGACCAGGATGCGGTCCTTTTGCTATGTGCTGTTGCTCTTGCTGTCGTAGTTTTTGTCTATGCAGGAAGTGTGTGCACATTGGAAATATTGTTGAAACGCTGTGAAAACAGCGTCAATGAATTGGCTACAAAAATGCCGCTAAACTCTGCCAGTCATTCGACAGCTGTCCAGCAAAAAAATTATGTGCATAAAAAAAGAGTTCGATTTTCCAGAAGCAGCCAACCTCCCCTTAATTTGGGTATAATTTTTTTCTCAAATTAAATAGAAATCATATGCAAATTTAAATTGAGTTTTCGATTAACCCTAAAAGCCGGCCGAGCCCAGCGAACAGAATAAAATCATATTTAGTTACACTCAGCTAGGGAATAGGCTCTCTTTCTCTGTCATCTCACTCTCATTCTCATTCGGGTTTCGTTTTCACATCACGTCGACGTGTTTAAGTACGCGTCATTTGCTTTTTGTTGTAATTTAATTGGTTTGTTTTCGACAGGTAACTTGCACCAGCCTCTCAGCCTCAGCCTCAGCCAAAGGCTCAGTCTCAACCTCAGCATCTGCATCTGCTTGGCTCTGGCTCTGCTGTCAATGAGGCAACTAATTTATGCTGCTGCCAAAGGGTTGAAGATTCCTTATTTCTTTACTCTGCTGCACGTGCAACCTTCTCGAGGAGTTGCTTTATTAATTATTATTCTAATTAATAGCAAGAAGCAGACGATGTGACGCTAAAAAATACAAAAACCAGAACGCCATCCTGTTATCCTGGCAGCTTGGCAGCTAGTCAGCCAGTCAGCCAGGCTGCCAATTTGCATATGAGTGACACAACAGGACATTTGCTTCCTGTCACGCAGGCTGCAGGCTGCAGGCTGCCACTGACAAAGGCCAAGGCGTAGATGAGACTGAAGCCAGGGCACGTTTTCTGAGAGTGGCTGCCTCCAGGAGCAGCAGGCCTCATCCATTATGCAAGTGAGGCGAAAGACGCGTGAGAAACTCCCAGGATGCTAATTGTCAGTGTCGAACGGCGTTTGCAGCTGCTTCATATCAGATAGACAAACAGTTTGTCCATATCTAATCAACTAGCTGATTATTAATAGAGCTCAACAGGTTTCGACAACAGCTCATCAAAGTTATTTGCAATACCCGAAACGCCCCGCCAATTTGGCAAATTTGGCTGAGCTCTAATACCCATTGATAGTTTTTAACCCTCGTGTCAAGTGAACGGTTCAACCCCCGTGTATTGCTGTTTGCCAATCGTTTATCGATCTCTTGCAGTTTTGCAAATTGACTGCGTCAAATGTCAAAGCAATTAAGTCACAAAATCAAATCCCACTGTTGAGGGTCACAATCCCCTCTGTGTCTGTGTGTTGTGTGTATTTGTCTTTTGTGTCATTTACATTGTCATGTTTGCTAATTCCCCTTGTTGTGTGTTGCCTTTTTGCGCCTATTTTCGCAATTTCACTTTCACCACAAGCCGCTTTCTTTTGTTAACGGCCATCGAGGGTAAGCCTTGGCACAAAGTGTGCCAAATTTTTGGGCGTGCTAATTATGAAGTGCTTATGACAGCTTTGAAAGTCGGCTTACGTCTTGTTTGCGTTATACTTAATTATTAGACAATAAGATATTGGGTCTAAAAGAGAAAATGTGAAAGGGAAAGGTATTATAAGAGATAGGAACATGCTACAGAGATTGTTAAGGACAAATCTGGGATGCTCTCTCGGACTACTCATAGAGTGAGAGTAAAGCGTGATTGAAAATAAACAAATAATATTGTTGAATTCTTATCATGTCATCATGAAGCGTTCTTAGATCTCTTCAGTGATTTTATTAGCTTGCAGATGACTGTCTGTTGACCTCGAACGTAGCCTTCTCTGACTCAAATATATATGATAGAAATTTGTGTAGCAGTTCGACTTTATTTTATCTCAGGCAACCATACTCGATTATTTGGATAAGCTATTTTGCAACAACATTTACTTAGTATTTGTGTCCTTATATTGTTGTTTCGCAGCTTGAATGAAATTCTTACGAATTCAGTTCAAGACAATTTCCTTTATGCCATTCCCGTTCTACTCTGCCCCTGCCCGCAGACATGCCAGATAGGGGCGGCGGCTAAACGAAATTGGTTTTTAAAAATATTTCACATTTCAATTTTTCGCTTTCACTTTCCCCTACCTTCGCCTGCAGACCTGTGTAGGCCTTGGCGGCTACCTTCTCGCAAGTTATGGGAGCGCATTATAATAAAAGCTACTGCCACTGCCACTGCCACTGCCACTGGGTGGCGGTCCGTGAGAGGGCCAACCGCTTTGGCTTTTACTGTCTGCACAAATAACAATCAAAATTTTCGTGGCGTAGCCTGGGCAGCCGCACCATAATCTTGGAGCAGAGGATAAGCGAGGCTCGTGGCCTGGAAATTGCCATTGCGGTTGCCACTGCCTACAGTCCTGCAGAA